CTCGTCGCGGCTAGGATGAGCCGCGCAGGTCGCCGCCTCTCTCTCTCTCGTCGCGGCTAGGATGAGCCGCGCAGGTCGCCGCCTCTCTCTCTCTCTCTCTCTCTCTCTCTCTGCGACTTTCAAATCGCAAAGCGCGAATGAATCTTCCCGCGAAAGTGGGAAGATTCATTCCCGCTTTGCCTTTCGGAAGCCTTCCTACAGCAGGCAGCGGGAATGAACCATTTATTTTTCTTATTTCTTTGTTTTTTTTCTTTGTTTTCTTCCCCTTTTTTTCGTCTGTCTCGCATGGACGTTCGGGATGCCTGCGCCCGGTAGTCCGAGCCTCGGCACGGATCGGCGTACCAGTCGGTCGAGGCTCGGACTTGATAGCTGAGCRAGGTACTGGTGGTTTAAGGGGTGGTCCTACTCTCAAAGGAGGAGACTATGTGGGTGTTAGGGGCCAAAAGGGAGTGGCGAGTACAGGGCCCACAACGTCAAGCCCAGTATAGTCCTCATGGAACTGGAGAGGCCCACTCCTGCCGAACTTTTTAAACGGATCCCCTACAGTCTTCACCCATATAGAATGCCCGGTCATTTTAGCTATATTTGGCCCAGGTTTTAGTTCAGATGCAGCAACAAAGACCCACTGTTCTATTCAGTACTGAAACGAATTCAGGGAAAATTTCGCTATCCTCATGGGGTCAAAATGAGCCGATCAAGAAAATAACTAACTAAAATGGAAATTTTACTTCGTTACCCCCAAGGGTCAAAATATGCCAATCAAGAGAAAAAACTAAGTTAAATTGGAAAATTTTGGCAGCACTTCGTTAGCCTCATGGGGTCAAAACGTGCGCCCACACCACAATGGCTAAGTCCTGAAGAAGATTTCAAGATGCCGCAGAAAATTCGGATTTTCAGAATAAATAAATAAAATGTAATGAACCCAGTCTGGAGGAAACTCGTCAAATGTCGAAGTACAAGATAACTCGGCACTGGATAAAGTCTCCAATAATCATGATAAGTGATTTGTGATATGATGTCTCATAACCATAAACGAGGTAGAGGAGGCGTGCGCCCACACCACAATGGCCAAGTCCTGAAGAAGATTTCAAGATGCCGCAGAAAATTCGGATTTTCATAATAAATAAATAAAATGTAATGAACCCAATCTGGAGGAAACTCGTCAGATGTCGAAGTACAAGATAACTCAGCACTGGATAAAGTCTCCAATAATCATGAGAAGTGATTTGTGATATGATGTCTCATAACCATAGACGAGGTAGAGGAGGGGGAGATAAGAGGGTGGAAGAGTAAGTAGCCATCAATGACCACATAGATAGTAGCCCACGCTCCCTCTTCTTCCCTCAGGCCTCCCCTCGCCTCCACGTCAGCAAACAGTGTCCAATAACGAGCCCGACAGGTCAGATCACATCAGCGTGCCACGTGGCACAGTTCTCCCATGAAGACAACAACACACAGTATCGATGTCAGAAACAGGTAAGTATACTCTCTCTCTCTCTCTCTATCCACAGATCATGATCTCCCTCCTTGTTGCGTCCAACTCAGCAATGAAGATATCGTGGCAAATGTCACGTCAGCATCGAATACAGAGTGGCATGCCCCACATCAGCAATGTCGAAGACAGCGTGGCTTGCGCCACGTCAGCACAGGCTGGCGCCCAAGCAGGAAGGCGCCAGCGTGCAAGCAGCAATCTCGCATCGTCGTCCACAGTGCCAGCGAGTTGCCAGCGTCCAGCCAGCGTCAAGCCCGTGTCAAGTCAACATAGCAAGACTAAATGTTGAGGAAGGGCCTTATGTAGCGTTGGCGGGTTGACCTGCCTCAGTTCTCCCACCCACGGTGGCTCAGATTGACTCGCAGCCGACGACCTGGATCCCATACAGTTGCAAACTTCCACTTGGCCTGAATGCTGTCTCGGTACCTGTGTACAAACAAGTGTGTGTATCTGACCGACAGCCTGGGCTGGGTCCACGGTGACTGACTGAGGGCCGTGTACAGTTGACTTTCAGTCAACTGCCTGGCGCAGGGCCCCTAATTCCAAATTTGGGGGCTCCTACCTCTTTGTTTTTCGGCCTGGAGCCGTCGTCGGGCCTGGGGCCCTTAGACTGTTTACGAGGCATAACAAGTGGTTTATAGCATTCCTGCCGGCCCAATTTTCGAGTTCCATAGCAGAAATACATTAGCTTTCTTTTAACGCACGTTCATATGCAGCAATGATGTCAGGAGCAGTAGGTAGTAGTTCTGTCTTACTGAACCATCTAGCTTCAGATGGAGGTTGAGACTTGAACTTTACCTTATATTGCTTTTGCGGTCTTCCTCTACCACATGTATAGAAGTAGCCATGTTCCAAAATCTTTTCAACTTTATAACCTCCATTCATAGAGAGTGGGAACATAGATGGTCTATTAGGAAACTCAGTTCCCTCTACATATGGCAACAGTTTAGACGTGTGAAAGACAAGATAGGTCTTAAGGTGTGGGGGTATGTCAATTTTATAGGAGGGTCCATATGCATCCCCAATCACGTTGAGAACTTCCCAGGGTCCGTAATAGACATGCTACAATTTCTGAGACACATTCTCTTCCAAGGAAAATTCTTTAGACTTTACGCATGCCAAATCACCTTCTTGAAATTGCGATGGCGTGCTTGTTGGTCTGCTCAATCATCTGCAACTGGGTTTTTTGTATATTTTCTTTGACCTTCTTCATGTAAAATTGTGAATTCACGAGTTCGTGGGGATAGCCTTTGAATCTGATCCCGTGTTAAAGCATCAATGAGACGCTTAGGTTTTCAACCTTTGTGTAGTGCATTTGGTGTTTTACCTGTAAGAGTATGTGCACTTTTGTTATATGCATCAGCAATCTTAGGTAAGTTCTCATCCCAATCTACTTGATCGGGTCGTACATACATGCGCAAAAGTTGTAGGCACAGACAATTCATTTGTTCAGTTTGGCCATTCGTTTCAGGGTGTCTACCTGACGACATGGTCAATCTAGTGCCATAGGCTTCCATCAACTTCTACCATTGTAGTCCAGTCAACCGAACATCCCTATCAAAGATGAAGGTCTTTGGGAACCCATATTGTGAGACCCATCGCATCTGAAACTTTTGGATGACTAGTTCAGTCTTAGCTTCAGTTGGCAAAGGAATGAACATTGTATACTTTGAGAATCGATCTACGATGACCATTACCTGACTGTTGTTGTTTCAACTCTTAGTGAGACTCATGAAGTCAATGGAAATAGACTCACCTGACTCACTTGGAATAGGTCGCGGTCTTAAAAGTCCCAGGGGATACTCATGCGAGGGCTTATTTCTCTGGCAAACAAGACAAGTTCGCACATAGGTTAGTACAACTTCCTTTATTCTTTTCCATTCAAAGCGTTCCCTTACATTTGCAGAGGTCTTCTTAACACCGAAATGTCCCTCAGCATCGTGGCATTCTCCAATAATCATCCTCTTGATTGATTCCTTGTATGGAATGCACAATGTTTCTTCGGTCTTATCAATAAAAAAAAGTAGACCATCAGTCACTCGATATTCAGGGAAGAGTTCAGGGTTTCTTTGCAGGGTCCCAATAATAGGATTTTATATCGGGTCATCTCCATAACCCTTATGAATCTGATATTTCAGTTGATTCCCAACATCGAGGGATGAGACAATAGTTCTAAAGAAATCAGCACGCCTGGACAAAGCATCCACAACCACATTGGACTTTCCTTTGATTGTCTTTAGTTCAAAATCAAATGTGTCAATGAAAACGGATCATCTCACTAACTTGTCTGAGAGTCTCGGTTGGGTCTTAATCCACTTCAGGGTAGAGTGGTTTGAGTAGAGTAGTGT